CCCCCCCATACTACACTACCCTCCCTAGTGGTAGAGGTGCATGCCAATCAGATTTCATGGTCTTAATTTCGTACCTAAGCTACACATTTTCAAAACTTATTTACATAGTTTTGATCAACAATAATTCGTACATCAATAATAACGTTAAGTTTGTCTATTTACCTGCTGATTTTTTCATAACTAGCCTACGCAGATTGGGTTCGTCTTCCATTTTAGCGTCATTCCGTACAGATACGCTGCGTCATGGGATCAGTATACGCAAAGTAGTATTTACAGGTCTCCACTAAAATGAATAAAATCTATATAATTAAAATAAAATTTAAGATTGCATGTACCATTAAATTTGTATATTACATATAATGAGATTTTTTATGTGAAAGATGGATCCATTTTCACTGGAGGGGTTTGAAAAAATGCTTTTTACAATTTAAAACTTTACGCAGGGTGATTTACATTCCACTGGAGGGATTCATATATCTTTCCAGGGGATTCAGATATCCTTCCTATGGGTTTATAATTCCACTGGATGGATTCAGATACCTTTCCTAGGGGTTTATAATTCCACTGGAGGGATTCAGATATCCTTCCTAAGGGGTTATAATTTCACTGTAGGGATATCTGAATCCCTCCAGTGGAATGTAAATCACCCTTCGTAAAGTTTTAAATCGTAAAAAGTATTTTTTCTAACCCCTCCAGTGAAAATAAAATCCCTCAGGTAATCTCCAGTAGAATCGAAATCTTACTACGAACTTCTTTGAGTCGTTTCCTCCAAGTTTACAATTTCTTTCCCGGATTTAAATAAATTTTTGAAAAGTAATTGACTGATAGATTTAAAGGTAGTCTTCGTGAAAAATGAAAGGGGGTATAGGCTTACGGCGACGCCGCGGAAAATAAGCGGTTTTGATCGCTACTAATCTTAATTCTATCTGTTGCGTCTATAAGGAGAAAATTGTGAAAAACGACTCATGCTGAAGAACGTAGCGTCCATACAAATTCAGAAAGTTCCAACATTCAACTCTGATCGTAAAAAAATCAATTTAATTTCAAACAAATCATTCAGAAATTACAACCAATAATCATCGATAATTTTTCGTCGTAAGCCTATACCCCCTTTCATTTTTCGCGGATTCTCCCTTTAAATTTATGGGGGTCATTCACGAATAGGGTTAGACAATTCTTTTTTGGGATTAAAACCTGAATCTTTAAACGTGACATCAAATTTTGACAAAAAAAAACTTTCTCCTAACACAGGGAAGTTGCATAGATTGATATTTACATTCATGATGATGGTAGATTTTAAACCTTCTCTCGTATAATCCTTTTCATGGAACCATTTAAATTTGAACTCTGGGTTTTAGTGCACGGTGCACGAGCAGGGGCGTACACAGGAAATTTGTTCAGGGGGGAGTTTTTAACATTCCAGGGGGGAGTTTAGCCTCCTTTTGAGGCTAAATCCTCCCTGGAATTTACAGTTTTTACTTCTCCAAGGGGGAGGGGGGGTAGCACGTATTCGCCCCTGAGGGGGGAGGTGGCAGGTACACGCCCCTGTACACGATGATATATTAGCACGTGCGCTTTGTATTACATGCACCCTTCATATTGTCTGGATATTCATGATTTAAACATGTCAAATATTGATCTGTCAACTGTCAGCTGTCAAGTGTCAGTAAAGTACGTTATTACATTATAATATTCAAACCTTACGATTACAGATAGCATTTTTTTCGGGAAAGTAATTTTTTGAATAAATATCATCAAATTTAGGTCAAAATCTCTCCAAAAAATATATATATATTTATTTCGAACTTTCACCAGGTGCTCAGGTTTAGATTTGAATTTGGTCTGATCCTGTTACGGTGTTGAATGATCTTTTTATGATTTGATCCATGTTTTTTAAGTGTCTACCATCTATATTTAAGGGAACGTGAAAAATCTTAGATTGATTTTAGATTGGGTTTCATCGGCTCTACCTTTTATATTGAATTGAGTTAGGTTAGGGATTAAAAAGTAACTCCTTATATGGTAGTCTTACGCCCGTCTGTCTGCCAGCTGTCAACAAATGCGTAAATTGCCTCATTAAAATAACTCTGATGCATTTTTTGCGTGAAGAGGACAGTTAGGGGTCAGTTATCGATCAATTTGTATGAGAAATAGCTAATATCTGCTTAAAGGGACTGTAAGCGTAATTTTTAGTGACCTTCCCAGCAAAAATGACAATGCACAATGGTACCCTTACACCCTTTATCTGATTAAAAAAAATTTGGAAAATACTGTCGTTTTTCTAGGTTTAATATTTGTTATTTAGGATAATTCCTATAGTTTTCCAGCGGTAGAAATGCGCAAGTCAATTTTGATTTTTGAATAAGAGAAACCGCTATAGAAAATATAATCAGTTTTCAAAATTTTTAAGGGTACCGTTGTGAATCAGGCATTGCGATCTCAGCCTGGAGGATCACTTTACACCCTAACTCAGGAAAGATTAAAATCTATTATCATGACTCTTCTAATTAAAGATTTAATTTAAAATATTCTAAAATAATTTTTTCTCGTTTTTCTAAAAAAAGAATTGTTCTAGAATTCGTTTTTTAACAATTCCAAGAAAAAAAAAGCTGGAAATATATTAATTCTTTTGAGTTGTTCAATTAAATATTTATTATTAACAACAATTATAGACAAATACGAACGTACATTTTAATAATATAGTTTTCTTAGTAATTCTTTTTTCAATAAATCCTATGCTTTCGTCTATGATAATATTAACATATCTAAATCTCCCTTCCTAATTTCCTATGTATCAACATATCTATCTTTTTAACAATCTAACTAACTATATAATTTGTACCTTTTAATCTATCTATCTATCTATCTACTGACAAAGAAATTGAATTCTTTGCCATAAACTTAAATTTCATCATCCTTTTATATTTTTATTTTTCTACTTTTTTATTTAAAAAAGCATTTGCCTACACAAAAGAGAAAAAGGGAAAAAATTTTGTTTTAAGGGAGTGACCGGCTATATAAGGTAGTTGAACTGAGTATGCAGTGTTTACAGATCTGTAAATCCTGAGTTTGAGCGCAAATTCGACGTTCAAAACTCCTACTTTGGGGGGTGGATACGTTTTCAAAATTAGTTTTTTTTTAATTATTAAAAAAAAACGACGACATAAAATGTAAAAAAAAGTTTTACAATAAACTACATACGTCATGTATAGGAACATGTTGAGAAAATAAAAATTAATCTTATCATCGAAAATAAGTAATCTTGTTCAATTATGAGTTTCTATTTTCAAATTATTCTGGTTTCTCATTATTCACAAAGATTTTCGCAGATTTTCTAGAATTATTATTGAAAAGACGACAATTGAAGAATTTGAAGAAATCTGCGAATAAATTCAAAGAAGATAAGAAATTCCATATAATAATGAAAACTAAATAATCGATTTTAACATTGATTTTTGACAAATTTCTTTTGAGAAATATGTTCCTAACCATCTAATTAGATTACTGTATAATTTTTACTTTATTTTTCGTTGTCGTTATTTAATAATTAAAAAAAACTAATTCTGAAATTGTATCCACCCACAAAGTAGGAGTTTTGAACAACGAATTTTAGCTCAAACTCAGGATTTACAGATCTTTAAAAAGTTTAATTTGTCTCAAATGAATCGGAAAGAAGTTTTCCACAACTCAGTTCAACTACCTTACATAGCCGGTCACTCCCTTTAATCGATCAAATTGTGATCGAAAGTCACAGCGTGCTGGGACAATGACCGAACGGTTGAATCAGCGTAATATCGGAACCTTCAAAGCGTTTTGCAAAATATTTCCTCCCAAAAATGATTCCTATCGTTACACTTATCTATCTGTTCATATATCTATTTTTATACCTATCCAATAAATATATATATAGTTCCTTGTATGTGTCTATATTTTTATATATCTATCTAACCAACTATACCTCCCATAGCTATCTATCTATTGTGTTAACGATGGTATTTCATTAATGAAATGATTTGANATGTATATGGATTATGGATATTACTATATATTTGCAATGAATCTGAAATATTGCAAGGAGAGTATATTTTGAGTTTATATAGAGCACGATCTGACAATACGCAGAATTCATTTGTCCTCCAGAATAAAAGGAATAGGGATGGGCATCAGTTTCACTTTCAGATGTTTCTCAATTTTCAATTTCTTATGCTCTGTAAGCAAATTTTTTTATGAAAACGAATGGTTGGATCGTGATAAATAGTTATGTCCACTTTTGTATTTTGTATCTATGAAAATGTTAAAACAAATTCAAGCACTATGATTCATAAAAACCAGAAGCCTCTTTAAAGTGAAAACCTTGAATTGTTTAAAAAGAGAAAACGCTGCCCATCTCTAATCTATTGTGTCTAGTTGTTCTTTATACTCTAGATAGATTTCAAGGAAGAGAGAAGGTGGAAGAAAGAGGGAAAGGGGAAGGAAGAGAAAAAGGGGAAGGAAGAGTGAAAGGGGGAGGAAGAGAGAACGGGGATGGAAGAGTGAAAGGGGAAGGAAGAGAGAAAGGGGAAGGAAGAGAGAAGGGGGAAGGAAGAGAGAAGGGGCAAGGAAGAGAGAATGGGGAAGAAAGAGAGAAGGGGGAAGGAAGAGAGATGGGGAAGGAAGAGAGAAGGGCGAAGGGGGAAGGAAGAGAAAATGGGGAAGGAAGAGAGAAGGGGGAAGGAATAGAAAATGGGGAAGGAAAAGAGAAGGAGGAAGGGGGAAGGAAGAGAAAAGGGGGAAGGGAAAGAGAAGGGGAAA